TCTTGTTGAGTTAAGAAGACAGAGGTCAGAGCTCAGGAAAAAATGATGGCTAGAATTTAGGAAACAGAGTACCCCAAATGGGGAAGCTAGCTAGAGAATACTCACAAAATCTGCATAGGAAGGATTCTCTTTGAGCCTTTGGTTAACTGTTGATCTTTACATGTGAAGAATGAAACATTACAAGGCAGGACAGAATAAAATTCCAAGGAAAGAACAATTATAGGACCCTATAAGATGAAAATTTCCCAGAGCTCATACATTGCCAGGAATCATTTAAGTTTCATCTAGCCATGAGACATTAAATAGAGACCTCAGCAAAACAACCCTTTGGGAATGAGACTCAGTTAGCACTAGAATACAGTCATGTACCACAAATGATGTTTCATCAACAACATATATTAATACAATGGTGGTCTCATAAGATTTATTGTATCTTTTCTATGTTCAGATATATTTAGATATATAAATACTTACCATTGTATTACAATTGCCTACAGTATTAAGTACAGTAATGTGCTATGTAGGTTTGCATGCTAGGAGCAATAGGTTATCCCATACATGCTAGGTAATGTAGTAGGTTATACCACCTAGGTTTGTGTAAGTATATGCTATGATGTTCACAAAATGGTAAAATTGCCCAGTGATGCATTTTTCAGAATATATATCAATAAGTCATGCATGACTGTAGTAGCTACTATCGAAAAGCCTTTAAAAATTTTAAAAACAAACCTTAAATAAATCAAATTAATCCACAAGTAATTAATTGCCTGTCATAAAACATCCAACATTCCTTGAAGGAACACAAAAAAAATCCACAATTCAACAAGAGGAAACTCAAAATATCTGATACTAATTTAAATACACATACACACACACACACACACACACACACACAAAGAAAGAGGAAAAAATGACTCATAATGAAGGGAAATATCAGCATTCAATAGAAACAGACCACAAATAACATAGAGAATGGAATTAGCACATTAAAACTGCTAAAAAATGTTCCAAATTCTCAAGGATATAAGGGAAAGCATGTGCATGATGGTAAGAGACATTAAAGATTGCAAAATACTCAAAATTTCTAGAGATAAAAAATAGAATATTAATATAAAAAATCTCCATATTAACAACAGATTAGACACCACAGAATTTTTTTAAAAGCTGAAGTTTAAGCAATACTAATAGAAACTATCCAAAACCAAGAACAAAAAGGTAAACGTACTTAAAAAAAAAAAAAAACAAACTTGAACAGC